ACCAGTGGGGCCAGAACTATTCTACGTGTACAACATTAAACCTTTAATTTTTAAGATTTAACATATCATCTGCCTAAAGTTAATTAATTTAAGATACATGTTCACCTGTTTTGGTAAAGTACTAGAACATAGAGAGAAGGTTAGATGAGGTGGAACCGTCCCACGTGGGTTTCAAGGGCTTTTTATGCCACGTATCGAATATCCAAGCGTGACAAGTGACATGTCATTTGCCATGTGGCCATCTAACAATAGAAATTAGAAGATCAATTTGGTGTCTTGTGGAAGGAATTAGAACTCAGGAAGGTTCTTCTAATTATGGAAATACCGTGTTGAATGTTAACCGGTCGGACGAGAGTTAGACAGACTAACATGGATGCAATCCATGCAATGTGGGTGGTGGTGGTGGTTATGGTGGAAGTAGTAGGGACCTCTGCCCCATTGAGTGAGATTGGTTACCCCCTGTAAATCCAGAGCACAATGGTTGTCCTTCATTATATTTAAATATGAGGCCAGTGAGTTATTTTTAAGTATTTGGATGGTTTCTGGAATTCAAATTTGAGTCTTCTCTAGATTTTTCAAAATGTTAATTAATCATTAAGTCACTGTTTATAAATTAACAATGGTGGTGTGTGAGGATCATATTTCTTTATCTTATCTATTACATTACTCAACTCTAAAAGTTAGATTCATTGTTAAGCATCTTGTGAGTCAGGTACTAAATTTAAGTCTTAAAACTAAAACTTGATTAGGTAAGTGCGAAGGTGTGTAGAAATTGCATTGAGTATGGTTGGTGGGGAAATAAATATATATGTTAGTTTGTTGGGGCTAAGAGGCATGATAGCAGATTTGTGGTGTAGCTAAGTTTACTTCAATGGTGACTTTGTTGTTAGAATCCTTCTTAGCCATTATTGAGAGTACAATAATTATCATGCCAAACCAGTTAAAAGGTCTTAGTGATGAACTAATTATAATGTTTATGATATCATTGAAAAGTTGAATATCTTAGAGAAAGGGGAGATTTTAGCTGAGCATATAAGGCAAGATGTTGGACCATGCTGCCTAGCTGAATGAAGAAATGAAAGCTACAAATTATTGACTACCATAAAAGAACCGCATGGTATAGTTTGCTAAGTGATGGTGTAACGGAACCTATACCTAGAGGTCCAAGCCAAAGAAATAAACTATAGATTAATTAAATCCTCTTTTCTAAAATGACTATGGATTCCCACAGGAGCTAGGAGTATTCCCAAATTCTGCAGTCATGTTAGTGACAAGTATGGGGATTCCCATAAGTAATTTTGATGGGAAACAAAATGTTGAGTGTTTAAATGTGAATAAAAAAAAATCTTATATTAAAGGTTAAGAATAAAAATTAAGTGACTTATATATATGAAAACTTATAAATTTAATAAATTAATCTTTTAAGTTTAAGATAATATTTTTATATGTTGAGCTCTTACTTGATAATTGCATGCCCGTTCCGTCTGCACCCTGCATCCCTCTCGGGAGGAAGAATCCCCTCCGATCCTCCCCGTTAAATGCAATAGAAGGATAAAAATTTTTTCTCCAAAAATGTAATTAAAAAGAATAAAATCAAAGCCCAAGAAAAACAATATTAAACCAAAATAAATTCTCAAAGCATCAGGACATCACTCAACATAAAACGTTGAATAGGTTTGGGTATTGTTTTTTGCAATTTTATAAAATTATTTTTTTAGTATTATTTAGAGAAGATGTTAAATGGATTAGGTGCTTTTTAGTACTAACCTCCCATATCCAAGCCATATTCGATCCCAACTAATTTGAAATTAAATCAGTCGGATTTCATAAGGAGGGAAACTCTCTAAGCGCATGTTTCTTTATTTATAATACTTTACTCGAAATCTTATTTAAGAGAAATCAAATTCCTTTTACTCGAATCAACATGTCATTGGTTAAAAATGAATTAGGTTTAGTTCTAAAGGAATGACCTTTACAAATTATTTTAGAAATAAAAATAGTTATTGGATTATAGATTAAATTGGGTTAGATTTATTACCATAATATGTTTTGATTTGTTATGGGAAATGGAGATCCCACAAGCCCCTTGATGCTAAGAAAATTTAAAAGGGTTTTTCTTAATACGTGACTTTAAAGTATAGGTTAAATTAAGATATATTTATTATATTTTTTATTATTAATTTATATAAAAAATTATAAAAGATAAATTTTATTTTCAACATTAATGCCAAATAGAATGATATAATTAGATAATTAATAAAACTTAAGTAAACTTTTATTAAATCTATGTAAATCAATGAT